GGGGGGGGGGGGGGGGGGGGGGGGGGGGGGGGGGTCAAACTCACCAGGCTTGCTTCTAAGCAGTTCTTAGAGGGCAGTGCTTTGTAAGCGAATGATTGCTCTTCGCAATTGTTACCTCTCAGGCTCTTTCCGGGTACTTCCGCCTTACGTAGCAAATAAATGGGGAGTGGGGAAGGGGTTGGCATTGACATTTCGTGTAATAGCTGCACGAAAATCGAGGATGTTAATAAAATTTATTAGGTAACCAAATGATATTTCAGCAATGGCAGCACCAACAGAACGATTTCACGTTTTGTCACAGCTTGATCATTTGCAGTCAAAATATACGGGGACTGGACATGCAGATACCACACGATGGGAATGGCTGGTAAATCAGCATCGTGATACCTATGCTTCAATGATTGGTGAGTGCTGGTTTCTTAGATTTCCAGAATTCGCGAGGCGAGAGTTGACAAATTTTCCAGTTATTTTGACCAGTGTTGTGTCGCCCGGTGGTCAGCCTGTTGTCGATTCTAACGTTTGTTTTGTCTCTTGAAAGGACTGTTAGCCTAATTGTTCTCGCGGCAGAGGCACTGACAGAATCTCTGGTGTTCATAGTCTCTTTATACCACTCATACGTTTTTGGATGGTTTCTGTGACAGCAGTGTTTCTTAGGACTTTGTTGTGCTTCCAGACTTCGTTACAGTAAAATGATAGTGGAAGTTGGTGATGTTTGAATTACACATAATACGCATCGTATAATTCCAGGTCATCCAGATCATCTCAGTTTAATAGCAATATGCGAGAACGAATCCCGAGCCAGGGTACGCTTCAATTTGTTGAATCAGATGATTGCGCCTTGTGGACCACCGCCGGAAAAGTCTCCGCTTGATGATTGAGGTGAAAACTTGCAAGTGTTTTTTTAATTGCATGCTGTGAAATCTTGAGTAGTTAAGATTGTTCGTTTGTTTATGAATTACGAGAATCCGCCAGTGAGAGACATATCAATCGTTATCCGTTACCATTTCTTGAATATCCCTTTCGACGGTAGATTGATGTTAGCACGTGTCAGAAAGTTATGAATTGCCTTCAGTTTTTTCCAAGTCGTAATAACAGCTATTTTGGTAGTATTTACTTTTAGTAACGATTTGCATTTGGCCATTTCCAAGTATCATCGTCTCTTATGGAGAGGATTATGGGAAAGAAGATGATATGACTTTAGGCTTGCTGTATTACATGTTAAGTTTGAGTGTTTAAATCTGAATATGCTTTGGTCAACTGTTTTGGCGAAAACTTCCTTAAAAAAATCTTCATAAATTTTTATAAAAAAAAAGGATCGGAAAACATAATTGATTGGGAAAAACAGAATATACAGACAGAAATACAGCACTCAGAAAAGTAGTGCCCGTGCTTTGTGTCCACATGATACGGAAAGAGTAATTTAAAACTGTTCTGATATGTTAGTGTAGTTGGAGTGATTGACCGCGAACTGTTAAGGACTAATGCGGACGCTTTAACTTTTGGATCGATCCGTGACCTGGCCGACATTCTCGTGTCCAAAATTTGGTGGTTCAATTGCGGAGGAACCCCCATAACGCACTTACTGATTTGCAATAATTTTTTAGTCATTACTTTATATGTGAACCAATCCTACAGCATCTTCCTCCATTGACATTTTGCTAACTGAAGCAATTTAGCGCATAAAGGCCTGTCACACTGCTATGTTTCTCTGACACTCTGAATTAGAATGACCCTGTATGTCGATTTACCGAGATCATCTGAGCGACTGGTATGGGAGCCCATGTTAGAAATACTATTCCGATGCTTCCACGCGCCTGGATTAGCTATGCCAGGCCGTTCGACGCTAAACTGCATTAACTAGTTGTATGAATTTCAAATGGCCAGAGTAAACAGTAAAAAAGCTCTTATAAGGAACGGTGATTCGTTGAGTTTGTTCCATGGGATATGGCCTGTTCAGGCTAAATTTTTTAGGCATAAGGAGCTTGCGGTATCCACTGCTGTTGCTGTTGTTGTTGTCCTGGCGTATAGACTCCTGAAAAGTTATGGCGGTGTATATGAATACTCTCTGGTTTAACTGCTGGTGCTGGGAACTGTTGTACTTAGTCGAAGTCCTGCTTTTGCATTTTAAGTTGAAACAGCGCACAAAGTAATGAAGCAAGACATCTTGCATGAAAAAGCAACCCTGGATAAAATTAATCCACTGAGGAAAATAGACACACACGCATTTCGCTTTGCTGTGCCCGTGTTCAAAAACCTGTGCCATTCTAATATCAGTAGTATAGTTTTTTCTCATTTTTTTCTACTTTTTTTTTCTTTTCGTAACAGTTACACTACCTGAACTCATGTTCTATTCTGCTGCCGATTCTTAAATAAATAATTTTGCCAAAAGTATTGGACTGCTGTTACCAACAGTGTTAAGATCTGTTAATACAGCACTGTGGAGTGACGAACAAGCGATGTAGTGCGAGGTGAGGACTGCTTTTGTAGGCGTGTTCTCTTTCCTGTGAAACAGAATTTCCTCTCCACGCGCTGCCTCCCTCGCCCTTTGCCCTTCTTGTCTCCGTCCTTAACTGGGAAAGGCTTTTCAATATCTCGGTGTTGTATTTTGTGTTTCTGGGCCTACTTTTCATTACTCAGTTCGATTCAGCTCTTTCTAGGCTTGCATCATTAGCCTACTCGTTTCTGTGATAAATTTTTTTGCTTCAAAACTTTATTTTTTGGATTTTTATCCCCTACGCTGATAAGTCTAGCACCCTTTTGATGTAAAACACTGCCAACCACTGTTTGCTAGAACTCTGCTAATACGTATTATGGGATTAGCAAAAAACTTTTGTTGATGTGTTAATACTCCTAGAAATTGATATAGCTGGTTGTTGAAATTAATAAGGGCTAGCAGCATTAGCATAGAGTGGGTAGTTAAGAGATTTAATGAATGACCTAGAAATGTGATGAAACTTTCATGCTCTGGTCGCCGAATTTTGTGAAAGGTTTAGTTTTCCGGATGCATAAACAAAATAAGCCTGACGAGTAAGCTTACCGGGTCTTTGTCTAGGCACCACGAATTTTTGTATCCTGTTTGGTAAATAACGTTGTACTCGTGATTGCGTACTGAATAGTCGAGTACAGATCATCAAGACACAACATACCCCGAGCAGCATCACCAGCAACGACCTATAAGTTATGAGAAAAAAGGAGTATTTAAAGCCGCTTGTAATAATATTTTATCTTTTTTGAGTCAA